GAATCACTGTGATTTATAGTGTGTATTATAAAAGTAGCTAAGTTTAGAAACGTAGTGATTGTGAAATTACTGTGTATTAAAAGTTTCTGTAGAGGAAGAATAAACTGGGTTAATCAAGAAAGGACTTGTATCGCTGACGTTTCTCGGAAAGAATTTATACCGGAAATTAACAAACAAGCAGATACCCAACATTACAATAAATGAACTCGAAATATTTCCATAGTGGTATGAACAGTTTACAGCCATTTTTTAACAGTCTATGGCAAACAAATGCATTAAGATATCTGAATGTTCGCTAACAGTCTAACAGTCTATGGCAAACAAATGCATTAAAATATCCGAATGTTCATTCAGAATGTAAGTTTACAATAAAGTTATGAGCTAAAGTTTACTTCTGTTTCTTAGATGAAACTTTTGTACATTAATACGTTATTGATATCTCCGTTACGTGTGTGAATATTAATAACATATTTATAAAAATAAATTGTGATTTATTGTTCGACATTTACTCATTTCAAAAATATTTTCTATTTATAAGAGACTTATTATTAAATAATGATTTTTTAAAACAAAAGTATGATAAAAATACAAAGTAGAACTATAATAAATTTAAGTATACATTTCAGTGACATAGCCACAGGTGCGCCTGGACGAATCACGGTCAGCACACTAAGCACCTAAGCTCACTCAGTCAGAGTCTCCTTGATGGTTCTCACATCCGAATACGTCATACGTAGCTCGATTAAAGCTTCCCGTAACTTGCCTCCAAGGGTTTTGTGCGCATCCTGCTAATCCATTGTAACTCCAGGCCTATCTAAAATTTCGTATCTAGCTACGCCATTCTTACGTTTAGAAAATCTGCACATTCTTTATAGCGCCCCTCCCCCTAGTGGCTCAGCGGTATGTTGGATGGCTTACAACGCTAAAAACTGGGTTTTGATACCAATAGTGGGCACAGCTCAGGTAGCCCATTGTGTAGCTCTGTGATTAACAACAAACAAACAATCATTATAGCGTCTGAATTTTTAGAAGCACTTCATAGGAGTTATTACTGCTGTAATAGCCTTGAGAATGTGCTTAAAAATAGAAAACATTCAAGTGTCGTGAAAAAGTATAATAGTTCGAGAAGATCGATCACTGTATTTATTATCTAAAAAAGATAAAATCGAATAAAAGATAAATAATCGAATGAAAACGAATTTGGTATTCTCAGATACATTGGTTTCCTACAGGTAGGAATAGTAACCACACGAACAAGAGTTTGTTTGTTATGTATTTCGCGCAAAGCTACACGAGGGCTATCTGCGCTAGCCGTCCCTAATTTAGCAGTGTAAGACTAGAGAGAAGGCAGCTAGTCATCACCACCCACCGCCAACTCTTGGGCTACTCTTTTACCAACGAATA